GCTTCCTTTGAAGGAGGAGGCATATTAGGTTGTGGAAAAAATTGATGTTAGGTGGGAAAAAGACGCGTGTGCCAAGGAATGTTCGACCCGCTTATATGTTCGGCTCGCTTATAAGGTACATTACCTGAATAGTGCGTGTCCTGAGTCAACTCTGATCGATCCTCTTTCGAGAGTGATTTTAATCGGTTCGTAATTCGTTGTAAGGTGAATAGAAAACAGTTATGATACGGACAATACAGGGCTAAAAACGGGGAAGTTGGGAGGTTACATAGAAGAAAAACACCCGATGATTAATTGCCAACGCTGTTTCAAATCAGGTCGCTGCAGCCAGTCTGCCCGTCTGATGACCCCAAGAACAGGTTGGCCAAACCATTGCTGCTGCTCAGCAACCCACCCAGAATTCCGCCGGCACCCAAGCCGCCGTCGTCGGTGAGCTCACCTCCCGTATCGCCCCAGACATTAGCATCACTAAGCAGCCCCAGCCCAGAAGAGGATGGGTCCACCAAAGAAGGATCCAGAGTCGCAGACGACGGGTCTACAAACCCCAACCCGCCGGAGACATCCTGCCCTGAACTGAATGTGTAGTCCGTAGTTGTAAGCTGTAGAGTGTAATCACCACCCCCTCCTACCAAGCCCTGACTATTATCACTTTCTACAAGTACTTGATCTCCTCCCCCCTGAACGGGATCCTGTGAATCCACACCTACTGCCTCAGATTGTGCATCTTGTGGCTGCTGCGGCTCCTTCGGTTCCTGCGTTTCTTCCGCTGCACCGTGCTCGCTATGGCCGCCGTGGGGTTTGTGGCCCCCGCTTGCCCCCTTTTTCGTGGCGTGTTTGATAGCAGCTGCTGTGCCGGCCGCGAGAAGAGTGCCTGTGATTCCCTTTGGGACGGGGAGTCCGGCTTTGTTAAGGGCCGCCGACATCAGAGTGAAGGGAACTGTAGACGGTGTGGGTTGGGTTTGGCGTTGTGGAGCTTTAGTCTGGGGGGCTAGAGGTAGGGGTGAACCGGGAGGCTGCGGGGGTTGCTGTGATTGCTGTGGTGCGTATTGCCAGTGTGGTTGAGTAAGTTGCGGGTTCTGCCCAGAGACGTGGTACACTCCCGGCTGGGTGAGGGCATACTGTACTGAACTAGTACCTGGGGCACCTGGACCAGGATGATAGCCGGTCGGCTGTGTTGGGCCCTGGGGTATCTGTGCAGTCGCCGGGTAAGGGCCAACAAAGTAACCATTACTCTGGGCAAGGTTGGGCCAACTTTGTGGTGGCTGGACGGACGATGCCCATGCTGCGGGCAGTTGTTGGACGTTTCCTTGTGCTGCAAGCGTTTGACCTGGCGGGAGTTGGGCTAAGGTATTCGCTGGAGCTATCCAGCTTTGGCGTTGTTGCGCTGTTGGGTGAGCCTGAAGGATTTGCGTCTGAGCTTGAGCGTGAACTTGGACCTGGACTTCAGCTTGTGGTTGGAGATGAGGCTGGGCTTGGAAGTGGGGGGGCTGAATTTGAGGTTGGGGTTGAGGCTGCCAAACTTGTGGAGGCGTGGGCCCAGTGGTGACCGGATTTGAGGCGGTGGCTGTACTTGATACAGGCGCAGGATGCCCTATCGGGGCAATCCAAGATGCTCTTTGCGGCCCGGTCTGCTGAGGGACCTGATATTGAGATAGATGTGGAGCCACACCAAAGTAGTTCGGCTGTTGAGCGTTGTTTTGGGGTGGCGGTGACCCCGGAGTGCCTTGGGGAGCTACGTTTTGTCCCGTGTGAGGCATCTGGCCCCCATATACTGCCGGGGTCCAACTTTGAGCTTGGCCATGATTCCACATGTGCTGGACAGGATATGTAGCGACAGCACCCTGAGCTGGAGCCTGGGGAACCCCGGCCCCTGGGGCGTGAGGACTGGGAACCAGAGTTGGCGGGCCCCATTGCTGGTGCTGTAACGGAGAGTTGATTGGATACGTCTGTTGAACGGTTGCTGCTGCGGGCGTGCTAGGCCCAGTAAGACCTGGGTGAACAGGAGGCCCAGTTTGAGGAGGAGAAACCTGTACGTTCGACGGAGCGATCTGGCCTATTGGAGCTCCGTAAGATCCCCCATTGGGAGGGGGTGATGAAGGTTGCGGCTGTGGTGATGGTGCTCCTGTTGGTTGGTGAAGACCAGCTTGTGGTGCCGCTTGCCGATTCTCGTCAAGCGCTGCCCTCTCAAACTCCTCAGTCACAGCCCTAGGAGATGAGATCTGGTTGATTGATAAAGCAGACGTGGCGGGTATTTCTGGTTCAAGGGATTCTTGGCAGGTAGGGCTCCCCGTCACGTCCGTCGCTGGCTGTTCCGTCGCGTTCTGAGGCTCTGCCAAGGACGATGAGCTCGATGAAGGCTGTGGGGCGACTGTTTCTCCATCCTGGGTGCCCGTCGCTTCCGACAAAGACAGATTCGATGTGCCCGGGGTTACTGAAACGGCGTTGGCTGTAGAAGGCGATGACCGACTGGATTGCCCCTGAGTAATGGGTAATGCGTCTACAGAAGCCTCCAGCGGCACACTGGTAATAGGGGCTTGTGGTTGTGGACTAGGCTGTTGCGGAGGATCAGGCGTTGGGGTGCCAGGGTACGCGCCTTGCAATTCCTGGTTCGGGAAACCTGGCACCGGTTGCAGCTGTGGATATGTTGCTGGATGAGCCTGGACTGGGACACCGGTCGGCCCGGCGGGAAAGCGGTAGCCCTGCAGTGAGCTTTGAGGCGGAGCGTGTGGCATGACCTGCCCGGAATTTGTCCCTGCTTGAGGGGGCTGGGCCCAGTAGGGAATTTGTCCCGTATTATTCTGAGAAATTTGTGCATAAACAGGGCCGGGCTGAACCGTAAACCCCATGCTGGGCTGTGAGAGGCTGGCTGCCTGACCCTGGGGCTGAACTTGTGGCTGAGGGGTTTGCTGGAGATGTATTTGCTGTGAAGGAGCTTGTTGCGGTTGGCCTTGGGCTACGGCTGCACTGTTTGCTGCTGCTGCTGCCTTCATTTGTGACTTTTGCCGATGCAGCGCGGCAGCTTGTGCAGCAGCCACCTGGGCATTGGTAGCGGCAGCATGGGCCGTGGTCGCTGCATTCTTGATAGCCCCCCCGAACCTGCTTGCCGTCTTCTTGCTCCATTTTACCGTGTCCTTGCTGAAAACAGAGTTTGTGAAGCCGCTGAGACTGTTGCTAGCCCCGGAATACTTGCTCGGCTTTGGTGTAGGCGGTTGGGGGAACGACTGAGGAGTGTACTGAGACGGTGTCGAGGGAATAGCTGAAGGAGGAAGCGGGTGAGTTGTGCTAGGGGTGACCTGTGATCCCTGGATGGGGAAGGTCTGTGGCCGAGCTGGGAAGGCCGCGGGTGTGTACAACGCAGGGCTTTGGGGTCGGACAAGTGCTGGCCCTGTAGCCATTGATGTTGCGGTCGTGGTGGCCATAGTCGTCGCCGTCGGGCAGTCTTGGCGTTGGATGGATGTTCTCTGTGGCCCAGGTACGGGAAAGCTGGCGGCGTGGTGAAGATGGCTAGGGTAGATTATCGGGGGTGCTGCTGAGACGGAAGGTGGTGGAACTGAGGTGGCGTTGGAACTTGACGAAAGAGATTGGGGTTGGGAATATGAGCTTGGTGCCGGTGAAGGGTGGTCCATTGGAATTAACTGTTGAGGACTGGGGCTGGTAGGAGACCGGTAATTTTGCGATTGATCCGTTGGGGGAGTCACGGTCGGGCTTGGATACTGAGTTGACGATGCTTCGTCCAAAGCAAGCTTGGGTGGGGGTAGCGGGGCAGGATGGTGCGGTATGAGACCCTCATGATCTGGGGGGCCAGACTTTTCCACGGGAATCAATCCGTCATCGTATTGCCCGGCTTTCGACTGGTCCAATGATGTATCCTGAATCGGTACCGGTACTGCCACTGTAGGCCCGACCGTTGAAGGCTGACTTCGAACGTCTAGCTCGACGTTTGAATGGGAGGCAGATTCTGCAGCTTGGATGTCCGAAGTTGCCGGGGTCGCGGCAATCATCTGGCGATTGAGCGGCTGCTCTAAGGGCTCGGAGCCAGCAAGTTCGGCCACAAACGCTTGACTTGGCTGCTGATAGTATAGCCCCGGGCCGGCTTGCGGAGATTCCATTTCCTGAGCAGGTAGCGTTGGCAGACCGGGAATCTCAAAACTGTGTGCCTGAGGGGTAGATAATGTAGTAGCAGCTTGGTACGGCCGGTACCCACCGTGTATGTTTGCCGTCTGAGGAGTTGACACTGGAGTTGGGGGTGAAAGAGGACCCGTTCTAAGATCCTGTCCAGGTACAATTGGCACCCCGGGGATACCTGAGACTCCAACAGGTTTTCGTTGAACACGTAGCGGGGCTGGGGACATGCTCCCTTTTAGGGCTATGCCGGCCACGGCAGAAGGCAACGGGCCGGGGAGTGGTTGCTGCGGCGCGTCTAAGGGCGGAGGCCGGTACGGGACATACTGTCGTCCCGCATCGCCGACAGCGTCAACCGAAGGGTCCACCCAGCCGTTGCCATTGTAAGCCATGATACGCGGAGAAGGATACGAATGATGCCAAGGTCGAGATACAAAGTACCTCAGGATTCAACTTGACGCAGTCGCAAGACGCCAATTCCGCTGCTTATTTGGTTGACGATGCGGTGTTTGAGCTCTGTGTCACTGTGAAGGTTGAAAGTGCCGACCGGCCTTTGGCGACGTGGGGTTTTCAGCTGAAGACCTGGGCCATGCCGGGACGGCGACTTCGGCACAACAGTCTGTTCACGATGGTCTAGTCCATAAGCGGGTGTCCTCGCTTCGATGTATGTTAGCAAGGGACCTGGACCACATGGATGGTGTAGCTTCTTACCCAAAACGTTCGGGGTTGTGTCTCGTTAAATGTCTTCACTTTATTCCTCTCCCTGACTTCGATTCAATTGGAGCAACGGTTCACGTTTCCCACATGTCAACTTTTACCTTCTTCCCCCAGCGGACTAATTCTAACAAACAGATTGTGACCCAATATATTAACCCGAGCTCAAAGGTTCCTCACTAACAACTTTTTCAGCCGCGCTTTGTCCCTGCAAGATACCGGCGAAAACGCCTTGGCGGAAATAGTCTTGGCGCCCTGCCGTCAATGCTGCCAGAAGCGTTCCTTCCCAAATCGCATTTCCGACGCACGGCCATGGATCTCACCAGTTGTCCATGGTTATCCGGGTCATATTTGTTATTTCTTCAAGAAATGCAATTGATTGTCCTCACTGGCAGATTTCATTAGAATCGGGGCGATATGGCCCATCCATCAAGTTTCGCAAACGATTTCCTCCAGCGGCTTGCATCGCGACCGGCCGCTGACCACGACCTCCCAACTTTCGACTTCTTAAACGCGTCAGATCGCGACTTGATCGTGACCAATAGCACACCAGAAACCTTCCATTTGGGTACCGGCGCCTCTATTTTCACACGCTGTCTTTTACCCGCCATCGCCTCAGCCCAGCATGAGGTCATCCTCGTCACCTGTTTTTGGGCGCGGTCAAAGACCTTGACGTCTCTCAGCGATGCCCTCACCAAGCTTGCAATCCACCGGCAGCAACTGATTCAAGACACAACTGCGCGGGGGTCACCTAGCATTCCACCACTAAACATCCGCATCTGCCTCTCGTCTCGATCCCTGTTCCAAAAGCTCCTACATCCGCAATCCCGTGATGGCTTTATCTACCCGCCCTCGTCATGGGAAGCCGAACTGGGTCTACCTGACCCGAGCGTACTCGAAGCCGGCGGTATTCACCTGCGCATCAAAAGTCTCTTCTTTCTTCCATTTAGCGTCATGCACCCCAAGTTTGTCATTATCGACAGGCAAAAAGCATTCGTCCCGAGTTGCAATGTTAGCTGGGAGCCCTGGCTGGAGGGTTGTGTCGAGCTGTCAGGTGGTGCGGTTGGGGGATTGTTTGAGTTTTACTCGCGGACTTGGGAGATACCGAGCGAGGCTCATACACTCCTTGTTCCGCGTCACGATACTGCGGGTGATGGGAGAGCGTCGAATACGCGAGAAGCAAATCTCCCCTTGGTCCGGAGTACCGCGGACCAGAGCATTGCTCTCGACTCCCCCATGCCGCTTCCAACGTTCATACTCGGCTCTTCGCATCACCAAAACCCACGATTCCGTCCGTTTCCGTGGCAGAATTCGGCTGCGCCGCCTGGAACTCCCTTGAACGTTGCCTTGTTTCAGCTCTTCGAGAAAGCACAGCAACGCATCTACGTGCAGACACCCAACCTAACCTGCGAACCCGTCCTCGCCGCTCTTCTTGACGCTCTTACGCGTGGTGTCGACGTGACGATTGTGACGAGCCGCAACATGATGGTCATGGAGCAGCTCATCACGGCAGGCACGACGACAGGCTGGAAACTGCGCTCGTTTATCCGGCGATATCAACGGCTGAGAGCCGATGATGGGGGAAAGGGTGGTCTCGGGGCGAGCAATACTGCCGACGTGGACCTTGAAGCCGGCTTAGTTGGGCGTCGACCGGGAGGCACAGCCAACACCCGGATTGGACGGCTTCGGGTCTCGTACTTTCGCGCAAAGCAGCCCCAGGCGCTAGATAATGGGAGTCCCCAAGGCGGAAGAAGGCAGGAACTTGGCGGGGATGAAGAAGTAGAAGAACCCGTGCACTCGCACTTGAAACTGACTATAGTCGATGGGGAGTATGCAGTCCTCGGGTCTGGGAACCTAGACCGTGCGAGCTTTTTTACCAGTCAAGAGCTTGGCATCATGTTCCAAGACCGGGAGTTCTGCGCGACGGTCAAGTCAGGGGTAGACGAAGTGCTAAATGGGCGACTAGCACTGGTGTTCGAGTCGGACGACGCGAGAAATGATTGATTAATTAGACGGTCATGAAGAACGGAGAAAGAAGGCGCAGAGCCCGAAAGATAATTAGCAGATAGCTTATCGCTGCTTGAATTCCAAAGCACGCAAGCTCGCTGCTGGATGCACAAGATGAGCTCGGTCGTGGGCCGGTCGTCTTGTTTTGGCAACGGATGGTGCTGGCCGGGCACACATGACTTTGTTTTCGTTGATTTCTCGACTATTCGGCTCGCCCGGCCAGCATCCGTGAGTGGGACGATTCCACGATAGGAAACCGGCCGAGAAATGCAACGACGGCCGGAACACTCGCTCGTCTTTTCCGCCGAGGCCACGGCAGCCGCTTTCTGGGGCTTCTGGCGCCCTGGAGGTGCAGCCGTGCAAGGGAACGGAGGAAGGCAGAGCTCATTCTCCATTGTGATTTCACCCCGGTTCTCCCCATTGTCAGCCGCTCTGCCCCCCCCGCGCCGAGAGGTTCAATTGAAGACTCGAATGTGTCGCGCTGGGGCATTTTAGGGTAGCGCCGCAGGCAGAGCCGCGCGCGCTGTTCCGTTCCCGGATATCCAGGAACGTGGACTTCCGAAAAGATCTGGCCAGGCCTCGAGTTTCCTGGTTCCGCCTTCAACGTCCCTTTGCAACTTCCCACGGAAAACCCGGTTGGCGGATCCTGCGCGCATTTTGATTCGTGGATCTCGGACAATTGAGCTTTCGTCGACCTGGTTCCTGGGACCCTCTCTCGAGCCTCTTGAGCTTCTTTCTCGTCGAACCCTTGCATAGGGTCGCAACCCTTGCTCTTGGCCTTCTTAGTCTTCCGTTCGCCGTCCCTTAACGCCCCCCGCCTAGGCTCCTTAACTTCGCACAGCAACCACAGCACCCCACTCTTGACGCTGAAGCTGGGCCGGGCCCGCACGGCTAGCGCCGTCAAAGGACCCTTCGATTTGGCTTCCATGGCGTTTTCGGCGCGTCTTTCCCCGGAGATCCACTTAGGGGATTATCCTACTAGGTAAAGAAGCTGGGGAAGTTGACGATGGGAGCGCCACTGAGCAAATGCAGTCCCGCATGAGGTTTGAACCTCCCCGGGATCATGATCCCGTCGATCCGGCTGTTCTATTTCTGATCTGAGGGGAATCTCGTTCTCTTCCGTGGATGTTCTTGGATGCGCCACAGAAGCGGCGAGGCACAACCTAAGAACAACCGGGAGTAACGAGGGACTCTGGGGCAAGGAGGTATTCAGAGAGAGCCATAAAGAGGGTGTATTCCCCCACTCTTGCTGGCCTCTTTCTGTCTTGCTCTCCCAGGTCCATCAGCTTGCTTCTGCCTGACACTTCACCATGGTCAAGTTCCTTCTTGCTGCGGCCGCCCTTGCGGCCACTGCCCTCGCTGTTCCTGTTGTGGAAGAGCGCCAGAACTGCGGCTCCCAATGGTTAGTGATTTGTGTTTGTTTTTTTCTCCTCCCTTTTGGTCTCCAACCTCTTAGCACGCAGTAACATCTTGCTGATTTACATCTCGATGCAGGAGCCAGTGCGGCGGTAACGGCTGGCAGGGCGCGACCTGCTGCCAGTCCGGCTCAACCTGTGTTAAACAGAACGACTGGTACTTCCAGTGTATCCCCGGTGCTGCGGCAACCACCACCACCACCTCCAAGCCGCCCGCGAGCACGACGACCACGTCAAAGAGCTCGACAAGCACCAAGACCACCGTCACCACCACCAGCACGACCAAGACCGGTGGCACGACGACATCAACCACCACCAAGGCCCCTTCGACCACCGTCACGGGCGGTGCTACGGTTACGGCCAGCTACACCGGCAACCCCTTCGAGGGCGTCCAGCTGTGGGCCAACTCGTACTACTCGTCCGAGGTGTACAACCTGGCAATTCCCAGCCTAAGCGGCGCCCAGGCGACCGGCGCGGCGGCCGTGGCCAAGGTGCCCAGCTTCCAGTGGCTCGACCGCAACGTCACCCTCGACACTCTCATGGTCGACACTCTCAACGACATCCGGGCGGCCAACGCCGCCGGTGCCAACCCGCCGTACGCCGCCCAGCTGGTGGTCTACGATCTGCCCGACCGTGACTGCGCTGCGTTGGCGTCCAACGGCGAGTTCTCGATTGCCAACGGCGGCGCTGCGAACTACAAGTCGTACATTGCCCGCATTCGCCAGCTGCTGATCCAGTACTCGGACATCCGCACCATCCTCGTCGTCGAGCCCGACTCGCTCGCCAACATGGTCACCAACCTGAACCAGCCCAAGTGCGGCAACGCGGCCTCCACCTACAAGGAGCTTGTCACCTACGCCATCAAGGAGTTGAACCTTGCCAACGTGGCCATGTACCTAGATGCCGGCCACGCTGGCTGGCTCGGCTGGCCTGCTAACATCCAGCCTGCGGCCACGCTGTTCGCCGGCATCTACAAGGACGCCGGTCAGCCCGCGGCCGTGCGTGGTCTGGCCACCAACGTCGCCAACTACAACGCCTGGAGCGTGTCCACCGCGCCCTCGTACACTCAGGGCAACGCCAACTACGACGAGAAGCACTACGTTGAGGCCTTTAGCCCGCTCCTTAACGCTGCCGGCTTCCCGGCCAAGTTCATCACCGACACCGGTCGCAGCGGCAAGCAGCCCACTGGTATGTTTTTTTTGGCTTGAACCCCTACTTAAACCTTGTTCATCCCCTTGATCAGAAATGTCTAACACTCTTTCCAGGCCAAACGGAATGGGGTCACTGGTGCAACGCTGTCGGCACTGGCTTCGGCCTGCGCCCATCGGCCAACACCGGCCACGACCTGCTCGACGCCTTTGTCTGGGTTAAGCCCGGTGGTGAGTGCGACGGCACCAGCGACACCAGCGCTGTCCGCTATGACGCCAACTGCGGCCTGTCGGACGCCCTCAAGCCTGCCCCTGAGGCCGGCCAGTGGTTCCAGGCCTACTTTGTGCAGCTCCTCACCAACGCCAACCCGCCTTTCTACTAAACGGCCAAGGCACCCCATGCGGAATCATGATTGGTTAACAATTGGTTCCGGAGCGTATTATATATCCTCCATCCTGTACATATTAGTAACCCTCAGTTAGACAAAGAGTCATCGGAAAGAGTTGTACATACACACAGATTACTCATGTCTCCGTCTTCGGTCTCTGTGATTTGTCCCTTGCAGTCCCAACTAGGTAATTAGTTCTTTCACTCTTGAACGTCCGTGGCAAACCCGCCCGCCCATAAAATCCCCCCTAACAGTTGCCCCATGAACCAGTCATCCTCATACGCCTCGTCAAAGTGACCCAGGGCCGTGTAGAAACAGCGACCGCCCTCCAACTCCTGACACCACACAAGTGGGTGGTCTTCCCCATGCGTACCGCCCTCATACGACGCCTCGTCCACGGTCAAAAGCACATGCAACCCCTTCCCGTCCTCCGTCTTGGTCTCGCGTGGGTGCGTTTTGAAATTATACCACTCGTCCATCCACGTCCGTTCTGTCCTGACCTCTGATGTGTCCACTGTCTTCGAGTCACCTTTCCGAATATCACCCTCTTCTCCTTGTCCTCCTCCTCCTCCCAGAGACACCCCACGCCTCATGATCGCATGCCCCGGCTCCAACACCTTCACCTTTCCCCACTGCGGCACCGGGTGATTCGCAAACACCGCCCCAATCAACCGGGCATACCAATCCGACGACTCCATAGCAAAACTCGCACAATGCACGCCCACCACCCCACCCCCACCCCATACAAACCCTTTGAACGCATCCAGCTGGGCCTCGTCGTCAAAGATCTCGCCGGAGCATTGCAGCAGGACGATGACGCGGTAAGTAGACAGTGACGACGGCGTGAAGCGGGCCGGATCTTCGGTGGCGTCGACCTCGAAGGTGGGTGTGGAGAGCGGTCCCAGACGGCGCAAGCCGTGGATCCCGGCTGGGATGGACGCGTGTCGGTAGGCGGTGGTGCGGCTGAAAATGAGGATTTTGAAGGGTGTTGTTGTTTGGGGGTTTGACATCGTTCTTGATCGGCTAGTGTGTGAGAGTGACGATAGGAAGTGGGCGAGGGACTCTGAGGGAGTCAGCTAGTGGGTGAGCGCCTAGGATTGCGGGCGTACACAATAACTAAGCTAACTGTCGTCTCGTGGGTGGTGGGGGTTGGTCTTTGACTCTTTCCCCTTAAACGCCGTGATGTCGAAAAGTCTGGACCCAGGAGCGCGAAACCATGTGTCTCAGAAATGTATTTTTGGAGGTTAACACATGGTTGCGTGCGGGGTCGGGCAGTTGGAGAAGCACTAGGAATCAGCCTCAGATGGGGGCCGAAGAACCCCTGGAACCAAGGTAAAGAATAACGTCCGAAGGCTCAAACACCCGCAAAACCTAAGAAAATCTCAGGTCACCGTCAAGTTGATCAATTCTTGGCATCCGTTCTAGGGGATCTCGTAAGGAGTCCATGGTCAGGTCGTGTGATAGCCTTCGGTTAGCGCTCATTAATTATGCAGCACAGTGGTGGTTGTTGATAAATACCTAAGGTAGGTACAACAACACAAAACAACGTTTGAGGCAAAACACCCTGAGGAACCGGACGGTGCGGGTAACAAGTCTATCCTACAATCCTTAGTAATTACATGCAACTGTTGTGAACGAATAATTGTGTAGCAGATGTTGTTATTACTAATTGGGTATTTAATTATGCCTCTCGTCTATTCATCACCACCTAGTAGAACTCAGTCATCATCAACCCTATTTCGCCCCCCCTACTCCCATTTTTCATATTTTCCGACAACGCGTATGTTCAATGACAAAACCGACTCCCGAGTCTCCAACCGATCCCCGGGGAGCTCCGCCATCCCCCACGCCCCCGCAAGGCTCATGGCTCACGGAATCCCAGCCATTCCACCACACCGCGTGCGCCGACGCCGGCGCGGTACTGGGACGTGCCTCCGAATAGTGGTTTTTCTTACCGAAACCGTGGGTCGCGGCGATGTCGTGATCAGTACCTTGCTCTGCCTTGTCAAAGAGAGGGGAAACTCGCATCGTTCTCAGTGTTTCAATGGCGGCCGTTGCGTGCGTGGGGGCGACGGCCCAATGATGTGGACTGAATCGATATGTCGCAATTCTAGCGGAAATGTAGCCATCCATCACCAACACGCAAAACCACGCGAGAGCACCTCCCAGCAGACCCGGAATAAGCTCAAGCGACACGGAACTTGGCCGGCAACCCGGCGGCTTGGGAGCTAAGGTGTGGGGTTTTCGCCCTGAGAACCATGGTTCCAGGTTGCGAAGCAGAAAAGACTAGCGTTCGTGGGACCGTGGTGGGATGGAACAGTGGGCGCGGCCGAGTTCGTGCGTACCTGATCTGCTTGAGTGATGGGATCGGAATCGACGGGAACTGGGGTTTCTTGTCCCCCTCTTCTACTACAAGTAGCTTTTCAGTCAAGTCCTTAATAAATAAGAGCCTGGGTCGACCGAATAAAAGGGAAGGCCGTGTTCTCGTCCGTCTTTCCATTCGGTCTTTTGTTAACCAGCAGCCGATCCCACCCTCTTATACACCCCGTCGCCCCTCTCTTCTTTCACCTCTGGCGTGTTCGGCTGTAGCCGTCACGACGACCGTTGGCTGCGTGGGAAGCCGCTGCAGGAACTGAACCCAATCCCTTCACTCGATAGGCTCGTTTTCTCCCGAGACAGTTTCAGTACACCCGCGTGTGCTGCGTTGGCTGAGGGAGTGCCGTGTTGTGACATCCGCCAAAGGTTCCCGCCGTCGCGGCTCACTATCCTTTTATTTCCACCATGTCATCCGAACCAACGGAAAAGGGCCACGGCCCGGCCCTTCATGGGGGCGACACCACGCCCGAGGTGGGCACCCTCCATGACCGGAAGCTCAAGGAGGAACTGGAGCCGTCGTCTGGGTCGGATATCGCCGTGGTTGAATCCGGAGCGATCAATGAGAAGGCGCTGCTCCGCAAGCTCGACTGGCGACTGATGCCTGCGGTGGGGATCCTGTATCTGCTCTCCTTCCTCGACCGTAGCAACGTCGGCAACGCGCGCATCGAGGGCCTCGCCGACGACGTGGGCATGACAGGGAACCAGTATCTCACTGGCTTGACGCTGTATTTTATTGGTTATGTCCTGTTTGAAGTAATTACTACTCCAGCCCCCTAGCCCCCTGTCTCTTGCGTTGAATCTTACGAGACTAACCAAGCTCTCGTTCTCTTTGTTTAGGTACCTTGCAACATCGTTCTGAAGCGGACGACGCCCCGGTTCTGGCTACCCACTCTGACAGTTGTCTGGGGCATTGTGGCCACGCTGATGGGTCTGGTCCAAAACCTGACCGGCTTCTTCATCGCCCGTTTTTTCCTGGGTGTGACTGAATCCGGTCTCTTCCCCGGCGTGGTGTACTATTTTTCCATGTGGTATCAGAGGCGGGAGCGGCAATTTCGTATTTCGCTGTTCTTTGGTTTTGCTGCCCTGGCTGGGTCTTTTGGTGGTATCCTCGCATATGTGAGTGATTACCCCTTACCTCCCCCCACCCCTTTTTTCCCTAGCCGGCCTGACAGGATACTGACGTTCGTCGATAGGGCATTGGCCACATGGGGGGCATCGTTTGGGAAAATGGTTGGCGCTGGATCTTTATTCTGGTCAGTTCGCACCTCGGTTTCGAGTGCCATGCCCGCGATTTAACACGTCAATAGGAAGGTATTGCCACCGTGCTGGTCGCCGTAGCGGCCTACGGGTTCATCCACAACTACCCTGAGACGGCCACATTTCTATCCGAGCCAGAGCGTGATTTCATTCGTCACCGCCTCGCGATCGATAGCGATGCGACTCGTGACGAACGTTTCACCTGGAACAATGTGTTCAGCGCGCTAGGCGATCCCAAGAGCTGGCTGTACGGCATGAGCTTCCACTTCATGAGCCTGCCCCTGTACACTTTCTCGCTATTCTTGGTACGCCTCTCGTTCTGTTTCTCCACCCCCCACCTTCGCACTGTCGCTAATCCCATTCTCTCCACAGCCCACCATCATCAAGGATCTCGGTTATAAGGCGGCCAACGCCCAGCTCCTAACCATCCCTCCTTATGCCCTCGCATTCGTCCTCACCGTCGGCGTGGCCGTCTTGTCGGAGCGCACAAACCAACGCGCCATCTTCATCATTGGCTCCGCCGTCGTCGCCATCATCGGCTACATCATCCTAATCGCGAACCCGGACCCGTCCGGCCGCCCCGGTGTCTCCTACCTCGGCACCTTCTTCGCGGCGGGCGGCATCTACCCAGCCACGGCCCTCGCACTCTCGTGGCCGGCCATCAACGTGTCTGGACAGACCAAGCGGGCCGTGGCCAACGGCATGCAGATCAGCATCGGCAACATGGGAGCCGTCATCGGGACGCAGCTGTACCGAGCGAACGACGGGCCGCACTACTTTGTCGGGCACGGGACTGCCATCGGGTACTTGGTGGGCGAGATTGTCATTTCTGTGCTGCTGTACTTTTTGCTCAAGCGGGAGAATGAGCGGCGCGAGGCCATCACGCCCGAGGTGAAGGAAGTCGGCCAGTTGGAAGACTGGACCGGCGATGAGGACCCACGGTGGCGTTTCCAGTACTGAAGGGGAGAGGAGTTGGTGGAACAGATTTACGGCATTGTTGTTGGAAATACCCGATTATGACCCGATAATTAAAGGAACCTAGAGAGTTGACCATAAATTTTAACTTGGACGGGAGCCGAGCGTTCCTTGCCGGCTTGAAACGGTGACTCTCTTGGCGTTATTTCAATTCGATTAGTTGACTAGGTAATTGAGGAACATTAGTTAGGCCGACGACCTTCCGTTGATCGCTTTGAACCCAAGACGGTGGGATAGTGCTCGAAGAAGGCCCCAAGTCTGGGGGGCAGCCGTTCAAAACCACCCTCAACAGCGGATGTGAGGTTGTTTATTGACCTTCGGTGCACCCTACATAAAAGCAAGCGTAAAGCTCGAGACCCCAGGTTTTTATGTTCCTCGTGGAGATTTGCCGAAACGGGCAAGGGGCTACCAGTTATAAAGGAAGTCGCACCCCACGAAAGGCCGATGGGAACCGTCAACACCCGCGCCATTCCAGGTCCTCCAGGTGTAATTTTCATGTCCCACAGTCCATCCTGCTCCTAGACTGTCCCGCACGCGTAATTGTAAGGCAGCACTCGAGCCATCGCTTAACTACTTATCGTTATTGATCAGCGTGAGTTTCTCTGCCTCGCAGGTAACTCCTCCGTGCAGAGTCAAAGAACATGAGACGACGGGCCAGTGGGCCCTCTGAGGGCCATCGAATCGTTCGACAGCACAGCGAGCGTTGAACCGGGCTAGAAGCCTTGGCGCGGCTGGTGCCGCCTTCATTTTGGCGCGGGCGATCTCCCGGGGATGTCTGACGCATGCGGCACAACCAGTCCGCGTTTCACCGACAGCACATCACTTATTTCCTTCTTTTTTTCTTCTGTTATAACTTCTCCCTTAACGAGCGGCCCGCGAGGAATGTGTCCAAGTCCAGCATGCTATTCTTGTTGTCGGTATGTACCTACCTGATGGGAGATACGCCTTATTAATCGAGCCAAATATATTTGCAGTGCCCTCCCAACTCCTGCATGTCATCAACCAAGACTGGGCTGAGCCCCCGCTGCTCCAATTGCCATGAGGCATGCAGGAGTTCAATTTGTTTCGAGTCTCGACGTTGACCACCTGCAGTGAAGAAATTCCAGGTTTGACGCGGTGGGGTGTCGGCGGCCCGCGATTGGCGCGTTCCGGCTCGTTTCCAGCGTCGGTTTTCAGTTTGGTCGATTCGGCATCAGACCGAAATGGTCGTAATTCTTGGCCTTATTTTTCTTTTCCTAATGTGTCTTCCCTCTTTCCGTCCAGCTAGCAGTTGGCAGGCAGCACTGCATCATGGTTGGACAATCGTGGACCAGGTTGGTTTCACAGAAGCTTCCACGGGGCCCAGAACCCGGCGCAGCACCTGCAAAGACCCCTGGAAATCTCGGGTTTGCAAGACCCCTGGTCGCTTGGCAGGGGAAGGAACCATGTCGCCGTTATGAAGTTGAAGGGTGTTCCTCAATGCCGGCGAGTGCTCGGGACCTCGGGTCGTGCTGACAGTTTCGTTGCAGTTCTCTCTTTGTTCGTATTTTCTTTTCATAATTCCATCCTCTCGCCTCCACCACGCTCCTTTTCGATCCTCCTCTTTTCTGTCATTACTCTCGGCATACCAGGCACAGAGCAAGTGCAAGCCCAGCCGCTCGGATTTCGACCTCAGAGGAGGCCCTTCGGTCTTTATTCATTCTTTAATTATTTCCTAGTAACTACCCCGCCACGCCGATCCCATTTCGAAAATGGCCGACGACGGTCAAGCAGTGGCCTCAGGAGGCCCGGCTGCTCCTCCCGCCCCGAGCGCTGGACATGGGGGCGGTCACGGCCCGGCAGACAACTTCGCCGCCAACGGGCACCATGCTCAACCGGCTCACGGCCGCCGCTCACACGGCCCTCTCATGGAGGAAATCACATCGCTAACGTCGCCTCGCCTCTTTACGCCCAACCCCTTTAGCCGAAAAAATACGTCCCTAGATATCGACGACTATTTTGTACGTCCCCTAATTATATTCCACGCAAGTTATTCGATATAATCGAGACATCGTTGCTGACAACGCCCAGACCGGCCCCCGTGATATCCAAAAACACTCCAAATGGCCCATCTTCTTGCAGATGCACGGGAGCATTCTCCCCAAGCTGATTCTTCCCCTGTTTGCTGTCGGGGCCTGGGCGACCTGTATCACCTGCATCCATGTGCTCGTGACACCAAGTATGTGATGCTCACATGTCGGCAAACGTTAAGTAGGTGTAACGACTAACGTAAATCCACCGTCTAGTCAGCATTGGAAGTGTCCTCCTAACTGTGCTCGGTTTCGTGGTTGGTTTGGGGTTGTCTTTCCGTAGCTCGACCGCTTACGAGCGCTACGCCGAGGGGCGCCGGTACTGGGCTCAACTTATTCTGGCGAGCCAAAACCTTGGGCGCGTCTTTTGGGTGCATACCGTCGAGCGGACTAATGTTCCGGAGGACCAGGTTGAAGAGCAGAAGCGGAAGGACGTGCTCGAAAGGCTGACCGCCATGAATCTGGTTGTGGCCTTTTCCGTTGCCCTCAAGCACCGCCTACGCTTCGAGCCGTACACATGCTACGACGACATCTCGGGTCTGGTCTCGCACCTCGGCACGTTTGCGCAAGCGGCCACCAGAGAGGACACCGACAACGCGCAGCGCACGTTCCGACGGCACGGGTTCTTCAAGAGCGTGGGCGAGTACCTTGGCGTCTCGTTTGCCGAAAGCAATCCCCGTAAGGCGGTTAAAAAAGCTGGGCGGCCGCTAGGGAACCTGCCTCTCGAGATCCTGTCGTACCTAGCCAGCTACGTCGACGAGTTGGCCGTGTCCGGGCGGCTGCCGGTGCCCATGCAGCAGACGACGGCATACAATAACGTTGCGCTGCTCAACGACGTGCTGGTCGGCACGGAGCGGGTGCTCAACACACCGGTCCCCATCGCCTACGCCATCGCCATCGCTCAGATCACCTGGGTGTATATCCTGGTGCTGCCCTTCCAGCTGCTCGGTACCGTCGGCTCCCAGCCCTGGATCACGATCCCCGCCACAGTCGTTGCCGCGTATATCATCCTCGGTATCCTTTTCATCGGCCGCGAGATCGAGAACCCGTTCGGGCAGGACGTCAATGACCTCCCGCTCGAGGTGTACTGTTCGCAGATCGCGGCCGAGATGGACGTTATCGCTAGTCGCCGCAAGCCGCGCAGCAGTGAGTGGATGGAGTCGATTGAGAACCGCGTCCTCTGGCCGCTGTCGAGCTCTGGGTGGCCCGTATGGATGGGCCGCAGCGAGGACAAGATCCGCGAGGCGGTCGTGCACAAAGTGGAGGCTACCTTTATGAGCCAGAAGGGCAAGGATGGAATAGCCAAAGGTCAGGAGCGGCCCGGATCGGAAAAGGGGGGTGCGGTATCTGGCAAGGAGTCGGTCAGCGAGGTGTGAGTGCATGACTGCTCCAAGGTTGGCAAAAAAGCAGGATTTGGGGGGCTGACTTTCTTAAAATTACCTATGCATGGGACGGTCGGCGGCGTATGATTCTTACTGGCAAAAAATGGTTGTTTGTCTCTCCGTTGTTGGTCTGACTCTTATCCTACTCTACTAATTCTAACACTTGTCTTACATGGCCAACATCTATCTACTTATTTATCTGTAGCTGCATCTTACTTACCTCCACTATCGCGGCAACGACGGGCTGACTCGCCGTGGCCATCAATCGCCCCTCTCTCTCGAGGTGTCTCTGCTCCGAGCACGCCTGTTGCCTTGCGCAGTGCGCCCAGCAGAAAGTGCCTGATCCAGAGCAAACATACCTGTCGTAGGTATATTCGCGACAGTCAACTCACCGGAGCGGAAGCCCATGGACCCCCCCCCCGGTCCCACCCGGGGATTGTACACTGCCTGCCGCCGAGGGGATACTCGGTGGGCCGCGACCCGGAGACGTCTGCGGATTAGAGTCTATAAAGGTTCTGATTGAAGAAGACGCATTGCTGCTGAACCGTGCGGATGACGGCGGGCCCCGCGCTGGCGAGCTTTGGGGGTCTGACTGGATGAAAGTGTGGGAATCGGCCGAGGACAGGCTGCTTGGGCAAGCACTTCTATCACTGCTAAGACTGTTACGCTGCCTTGACTGGCTCGACGACGGTTGTCGGGAGCGGTTTAGCGCATCTTAAAGCATGTTATGGGTCGCGGCAGCTTTCCTGCTTGGCATCTTGCCGTAGGTGTCGTAGATGTTACCAAGGGAGCTCGGTGTACTGAATGCAGACGAACCCCGGGCCGAGGTCGCAGCTGTATCGTCCCCTCCATGTTGAGCAATTACATCTTGAACGGTGTCCGGCGAGCTGGGATTCGATGTGCGCTGGGTTGGCGTCTTCGGACCGCCCGATTGGTAGATATCATAAATCCCGCTAATATTGCTGGGGGTAGAGGCCTGACGGTAGTCAATTCACGAGCGTTAAGAATCAAAAGTTCATCTTGCTATGTTTCATGTCCATATTCGTCACCCCCAGTAAATTTGGAATCTCGCTCAATCATTCATCCCGGTCATAAATCGTTATCTCTCGCATCCCTCATGTCTACCTATACGGCAAACTGGGCAAAGCCCGACCCAGCTCCTTGATATCCTCCTCCTCTAAATACTCTCTAATGCTATGCTTGCTTGTAACATGGCTGACCAACCCTTCCTCCGACCGACAAACCGTGTCCCGGTCCCGGTGCTGCACGCACAAATAACACGCATACCCAGAACTCTCCCGGTGGCACTTGAAAACGAAACGCCTCGTCAATAGGTACGTCCGCACCATAACATCCTCATAACCACCACCATGGCTTTCAAGATTCGGGCCTCGCAGCGACCGCCGACGGTCCTCCCTCGGACTCCGTACCACGACCTCCTTCTCTATCTGCCACGATCGACACCCATCTACCTTGTCGCCGACCCCCGCGCCCGCACCGCACTCTACACACACGGGTGATGGGGAATCCGTCGCGAGGACTGTTTCCAGTGGCCGCCTCGTTCGCTGCAGTTCTTCGGCACACGGGCAAAATAGTCGGCTATCGTGGTTGCTACCGCTGTAGTTTGCGAGTTGTGTTTGTGGTGTTGAGGGTGGTGGAGGTAGAATGAGGCGCTGTTCACCTCGGGCCGAGCTTGTTGTCGAGCCGCGGAGCGAAGGGGTTGAGGATATTTTCCGGATAAGGCTAGGGCGTCCCCGTTGTGATGTTGCTGATTTCGGCGCTGGGGTTGCCGATTCGAGAAGACGCTGATACTGGCCGCGTAGGGCTCGAATGCTGCCTTCTCGCGCGAATTCAGTCGTGTTGTAGAGCTTGTTGATATCCGGGAGCGTTCCTGTGAGGACGGCTTCTTCTAGCAGTTTTATAACGCTGCCTTGAAGCAGGATAATCTGCCCTTGTATCTGGTTTTGAGACACCACTATCGGGATCAAATGATCAACAGTTAGCTCTCGGGGCCACAAGACACACTATTATTGACAGCAACGCTCTTACAGTCTCCCTCAGCAAACTTCGGCCCTAGGTTGGCAAAGCAGCGATCGTACTCATGTTGGACCATCTTGCCGCTCTGCTGCAGCGAATCTCTGAAATCATCACGATCTCCATCACCAGCCTTGGATTGCTTCGGACTGCTCCCTTCCTCTATGATACGCTCTTTCTCTTCCTCTGCCTCGTTCAAGCGCTGTTCGAGCTCCTTGATCCGTTTGTTCTGGCCCCGGTCGAGTTTCTTCTGCCTTCGCTGTTCGACGAGACGGTCATATAGATTGATGCTAGTAATGAATGTGCCGGCGACTGTCGACACAAGCGTCGCAAGCATAAAACCTTGCTATTCGTGAACAAAGTAAAGCGCGTTAGCTGGGGACGTGTTGTTGGAGTACGAAACAGGTTTATAACTAAAAGAACTGAATAAAAGACCGTTTCGTTTCGTACCTTGAGCCTCTTTTCTTCAATCATTTCTGCAGTGTCCATGCCGAGACTTCCCTGTGAGTAGTAAAAGCAGGTGATCGACACGCTCAAATAAGTTTGACGGCTCAAACAAATGTAAAGACAAGGTCAGAAAAATACAGGACAGGCTCTACCCGGCCGTTGCCGTTTCTTATGATAATCTCATGAGCTTCTCGGCGCTTGCATATCGAACCCGGTAAAACATCTTCCTAAGCATGGCATTAACAAGAAAGTATTATATCTCTCTTCCCCATCCCCCGTCCCCTCGGGAGACATGCAACCCCTGGGCTTCCAAGCTCCCCGCAGGTGATTTTGGGGCATGACATCATAAGCTAGTTGGGTGGCCGTTGCTGATTGGAGACTTCAACTGATCGGGAAACCCGGGGTGGATCGATAAACATGGGCGAGACCCCAAGATCTCATCCATCAGAAGAACGACCAAACCAGCCCCCATCCGATACGCGAAAGTGCAGCGACCAGGTCTCGTGATACAGAGTCGGGCATCGACATATCAAAACCCTTAACCAATTCGGTTGGGCGGAGAGACGCACCATGACGGCGATGGCGTCCTCGAGCCTTCAAAGAATTGCGACAAAGCTGAGCAACGACAAGCCATTGCATGGAAAGAAAAGTGACATGTTGTAGCGGGGGCGCATGACGGAATAAGCGCCCCCCCGTATTGGCCGTCTAATCGTGCTGAAGAAGCGCTTAGAACGGGAGGGCCACTTCCACATCGCATCCCACGTCTCACGTCTCACGTCCCACACATCCCGCGTCGAGCTCGACCGATCCTCTCGATGCCCGGATTCCAAAGATGCAGGTGCGGAGCATTTGGGCCGGGTTTTGTGTAACGACTTGCGGGGCGCCGGAAGCGGTTCAGAAGGAAAGGTTGACAGCTGGTGACAGCTGATCGGTGCTGCTGGGGACAGCTTTCTCTCACCGCCCCAGCCGTGAACCCCCATCACGTTAACACGCGACCCCTGGCTTCCCAAACCGCGGATTCTGCCATTCGCCGACATTACTAACATCCACTTCACCTCATTCTAGCGCCCAAACCTCACGTTCATTCCCCTCCCCGCTCTGCATTGCTGGTCCTACGCCACCTCAGGGTCCATATCGCTTCACTAATCGCTGAGCCTTGAAACCTCAAACCCCAAATCCCGAACTTAAAGCTCGAAGCTCGAACCCCGATCGTCGGCTGCCCGCGCAGCCTGTCGCGGCGCCAAACTCTGCCCTCTCCTGCCCCCGCCCGCCACGATGTTATCCGGCATCCTCGTCTTCAACCAGAAAGGCGAGAACCTCATATTTCGTGCATTTCGCAATGACTGTCGCCCGCGCCTCGCCGATGTCTTCCGCATCCAAGTCATCAGCAACGCCCAAGTGCGTTCGCCCATCTTGACCCTGGGTAGCACCACTTTCAGCCATGTTAAACACGAGAACATCTACCTGGTGGCCATCACCAAGAGCAACGCCAATGCCGCTCTAGTGTTCGAGTTCCTCTATCGCCTAATCCAGCTGGGGCGCGGTTACTTTGGCAAATTTGACGAGGAGGCGGTTAAGAATAACTTTGTCCTTGTGTATGAGCTTTTGGACGGTATGCTACCTGCGTTACCTGTGCTGCCTCTATCCACATTCCTCATACCCGGAACCTAGCTGATATGCCTCGATACCTGCAGAGATCATCGACTTTGGCTACCCCCAAAACACCGAGACCGATACGCTCAAGATGTACATCACCACCGAAGGCGTCAAGTCGGAGCGAGCTGCCGAAGACTCGGCCAAGATCACAATGCAAGCTACGGGGGCTCTGTCCTGGCGCAAAGCCGACGTTAAATACCGCAAGAACGAAGCCTTCGTTGATGTCATTGAGGACGTGAACCTGCTGATGAGCGCCACAGGTGCGGTGCTCCGCGCCGACGTTACCGGTCAGATCATCATGCGCGCCTACCTCAGCGGGACCCCAGAGTGCAAGTTCGGTCTCAACGACCGCCTGCTACTCGACAACGACGGCTTGTCAAGCCTCCCGAGTGGTAACCGGATGGGTAGCAAGGCGACCAAAGCCGCCGCCGGCAGTGTTACGCTGGAAGACTGTCAATTTCACCAGTGCGTCAAGCTCGGTAAATTCGACAGCGACCGCATCATCAGCTTCGTGCCACCCGACGGCGAGTTCGAGCTTATGCGCTACCGCGCAACCGAAAACGTCAACCTACCCTTCAAAGTGCACGCAATCGTTAACGAGGTCGGCAAGACCAAGGTCGAGTACAGCATTGGCGTGCGCGCCAACTTTGGCTCCAAGCTGTTCGCCACAAACGTCGTCGTCCGCATCCCCACGCCGCTCAACACCGCCCGCATCACTGAGCGTTGCACCCAGGGGAAGGCCAAGTACGAGCCATCCGAGAACAATATTGTGTGGAAGATTGGCCGCTTCACCGGTCAGAGCGAGTATGTACTGAGCGCCGAGGCCGAGCTGAGCAGCATGACGAACCAGAAGGCCTGGAGCCGGCCCCCGCTGAGCCTCAACTTCAGTCTCCTGATGTTTACCAGCTCAGGCTTGTTGGTGCGCTACCTGAAAGTGTTTGAGAAGAGCAATTACTCCAGTGTAAAATGGGTACGGTATATGACAAGAGCTGGGAGTTACGAGATCAGGTACGTTTGCCCGCCATCCTACCATCCCTGCCCTCCGTCTTGACCCGGTCCTCGTTAACTAACCAGGCTGTCGTATCATAGGTTTTAAATCCATTTATTATGACGACGTCTTCTCTTCGATGTAAATAAATAAAACCACCACGAGTACGGAAATAATGATAATCCCAGTACATATCAATCGAGAACGGGCCACTGTTAGCGTGAAATAATTCTCATTCACCTTGGACAACCGGCGTCCAAGTATATGGCAATCGCTTCCTTTGCCCTCCGCGCAAGCGCCTGCCTTTCTGTCTCTAATGCGGTCAGAAGACAGAGCGAGCGTGACCTAGCTTGTCTCCCGACAGCTGTAAGTCCAATCCGAGCAACCGTTTCATTTCCTTTCAATGCCAATTCCAAGTTTTCTGCGTCTCGATCTGAAGTCAAGTTTTAGATCACAATCAGCCATTTCCAGTTTCTACAAGGCATGTTTCATTGTTTACAAGCACACGAAACAGCCGTTGTCCAGGCTGTGCAAGTTTGAACTCCCCCAAGATAGTCAACATCCCAGACGCTGGGCCCAAATCTTGCCCTAAATGCACGGATCCTTGTTTCTGTTTTTACATTTTCCTTGCGTGGATGTTCAGCATATTTCCTCATCAGAGCCCTCAGCTATAGGTGCCGTGGCCCCCTTACGCGCCGGCTTGAGCCAATCCTCCCGCCCGAGCGGCCAATACACCCTGTTTGCCGGTCCGCCCATCGCGTAGTCCTCGTCGGAAACTTCACGTGCTCCATCGGCATGTTCTTGATCTCCGGCGCCGGCCCCTTCATCGTTCAGTTCGATGGCCTCCTCGTCTGGTGCCCGCTTCCTCTTGAGGTTGCCGGCCGGCTTTTGCTTCTTGCGCGGCTTGACTGCGGGCCGCGGCTCGTCCTCACGCTGGTTCGGGATCATGTCGTTGATGCGATCAAACCCGGGCAGCTTGAAGGTACGCATGAGCTCGAATACTGCCTGTTCCTTGTCCTTAGCCTCAATCATAAGATCGGCGTCTGGTGGACAGGGGGGCAGGGTCATGACCCGAGGACTGTGCTTGCGCCGGTCGCGCGGGGTCACGGCGCCGGGACAGGGTTCGCTATAGTGCATTTTTTGCTTGATGTTCTTGCGGGTCCAAGTAGCGGCGATGCGGGCTTGGAGCGCTGGTTCGCTGATGTCGAGGGTGCCTTCCCGGCACTGGGTGTTGTCAAAGATGATGTTGTGGTGGTGGTAATCTAGGACGAGAGGAATGTTGAGCTCCTCGCAAGTGGGGAGAAGATCGTGTACACTCCATCCGACATCGTCGTTCTCCAGCACGAGGCGTGCCTTGACCGAAGGCGAAAGTCTGGCGTAGTTCTGACGGAACCTTTCTAGCGTGGCCGCCTTGTCTCCATACACGCCACCCATGTGAAGGATCATGACGGCATCGCGGTTTTGTTGTTCAGGCAGTTGGAGGAGGCTGAGCATCTCGTCATGGTATTCAAGGTCCCGGATCGCGGCGTCGACCACTTCTTTTCGAGGAGACCCCAACTGGGTATACTGGCCTGGGTGGGTGGTTAAGCGATGGCCCAACTCACCAGCGACCTTCCCGGCCTCAGCAAGAACCTCAGAAGCAAACGGCGCGAGCCGATAGCCGTGCGCTTCATGGCTGGCAAAGGGAAACATCTCAGAGCTGAGCCTCATAAACCGGATACCATACCTCTCGTTCCACCGTACCATACGGATGATATCGCGGGCGTTAGCCAGACCCAACTTTTGGACGAACATCTGGCCCCGCTCCACAGAGGGTTCCTTGGACTTGTCCGGCCGGTTTTTGACGGAGTGCTCCGGCTGGGAGGGATCAGCAAGCGGGTACCGGTGATCGATAATGGAGGCCAGTCGGCAGGTACGAGAAGAAAAGACGGGAGTTTTAGCCGAGCGCAGATAGGTGTTGAGACATGCGTAGCCGAGGCGGCCTTTCCATGGAAGTGGCAGGTAGCTGCTATTGACGGCCGGTGGTCTGGCCGAACCGCGCTCTGGGGCGTCAGATATCTCATCTGGGGCGCTGATTCTTTCGCTTTCGGGGTCCGGCCCGCCGGCGCCCGTGACAGCTCTGGCAAAGTTATCTTTTTCGTTCTCCTCCGGTGTGGGCAGCTGTCCCCCGTTGGCGAGCTCTCCAGCGGCCTCTCTAGCTTTCGCAGCGACTTCTCTCACGCTCGTCGCCTCGGTCCCTCGGTCCTTCGCAGATCTGGGTGGATCGGAGGAGCAAGTCTCCTCCTCAATCTGCAGCTTCTGCTTCTTTGTAGCACTTCGCAGACGACGCTCCATCCGCGCCAGCCCTTCAATGGCAAGTTTCATGTCCTCCTTCGTCTCATGCTTGCGCTTTTCGATCTGCAGGCGGTCCAGAGGCTCGTCCCCGTCGTGCAGCAGCCCGAGCATGTTCCCCGCTGTCGGTGAGCCGATGTCCTTAGGTCCCATAACCCTAGACAAGCCCCGGCTCGATCGCCGGAGGTGAATCTCAGGGCGGAGGGGTGCGTCGGCGTCAACGGCCGATAGGTGTTCCTCCATGTGCAAGGGTTCGGAGGACGACTTGACCTTACCCTGCATGGCGTGGAACGGCCAGGCAGCGGTCGTATGGGTGAGGGGAGAGTAGGTATGCCCTGTCGTAAAGGGGCGACCCCTTAAGGATACTCCAATAAGGGGAGGACGGAAGGCGTGGCGTGATAAGAACAACACCGTCGTTGACAAGGCGGGCGAGATCCGAGACGACGTAACGTTAGCGAACCGAAGGCAAGTGAACGACAACCGGATAGAGGGTAAAGACGTCATAAGACTCTGCACGCCCGTCCTCGTAGGTCGTTCCCGGTGTCTAAGCGTCCCACTCTGGCAGGTATTGACCGAAACTGCCCACGAACTAAACTTTCAGCAGAACGGGCGAGAGAAAGGGGGAAAGAAAAAGGCGATATGCTTGTGGCGCTTGGGTGCTCGAGTGTTCATATGCTTGTCTCGGCCCGGAGTGTCAAACGAGCAACACTGTTGTACAGAGGTTATATTACAATTGCCAAGTACATCCAGGGGGAGTTAACGGAGCGCCCGTGTCGAGCAGTAATAGATCTGAGGCTAGTATTTGAAGGTGCGGGGGCGGTGCTAGATAATGTAGACACTGTGAAGGGCTGTAGTGTGAGGAAGAATAAAAAGGAACGGAAGATCACTTGAATCGCGACTTCGTCTCATCCACGCTTCACGCACGCGTCCTCTCGGCCCCCCGAACTCGGGATTGCAACATCGCTGCACGCCGCTTGGTTGACATGGGTCTCCAGGCAATGACGTGGCGATCGATTTGCTGTTTGATACCCAAACAAAAAACACCTCAGATCGTTAGGTTCGGAAGAAAAGGGTGCGGATCGAGAAGCAGTCGGCAGACGAGGACGAGGTCAGAAAGCACTTGGCACCAGCTAAACAAGGGTCAAACAAGGGTCGCAACAGCCTCAAGCGTTCCTGGAGAGTGGAACTCAGGCCCGTGAGATGGTCGTGATGACGTCACTCTCCGCGGGGTTCTGGACCGTTTCATTCACCCGGAGCTAAGGGGCCTAAAGTTCCTCTGTTTCACGGAGCTAAAGATTCGAGGATGAGAAAGAAAACACATACGCGGGAGAAAAACTGATCTATTCCTTTCCTCTTGGCGGCAGTGTCCTCTTAATTGTACTTGAAAATAAGTCTCATTATACCAATCGTACATACCTGGGCTTCTAGCTAGGTTCCTCCCTACCACTCCCTTTTTGTGCAGCGGCAGGTCGGGTTCCTTTATCCCATGATTAGTGTTCGACAACGAAGAAAACAAATGAGATCTTTTCAACATCTAGACGCACCTTACCTAGCTGTCCCGACAACTCGGTGTCACGATGCCCAACCGCTCCTGAATAGGTATGTACACTACCTTGACTACCTAGAGAAGCCGACACCCCCGTGCCCGCAACCCCACCTCGCCTTGTTGGCCACCCTCGACCCATTTAAAGTCTAGAACCACATGGGGGATCGCCTTGCAGTGAGCCGATGGTGGCTAAACGTGTTAAAGTTCCCAGCCTCCAGCCAATGATATACATACTAAAGTTCCCTTGCGCACCGAGGAGGGTAAAAATCCTAGTTCCTGTTTAACATCGTCGGACCTTTTCTTCCTCTCATGTCGATACCTTTTTCGGGCCTATCTTGATACGTGCCCATATTATGGTATCAAAGTGACCGATTGTTATTCCCCACCGCAGAAACCTTCATGCCACGGGTCCATTGTTAGGTAATTATACAAAATTTGTATAACTAGGGAGTTTATTCAAATTGTATTCAATTGTCAAGCCTCACTACCAGAGGTACAAGTGAGGGTCAACAAGACTAAAACAACAGAAAAAATACAGTTAAGAACGTTGACACTGTCCGGGTTACACCTCTTCGCTTTTCCTAAAATTTTGGGTCAATCAAGACTCATCACAAGCAGTGTAGAGAGGAACGATGTCTCGGATCTAATAATGGTTATACCGTATCGGCACTGAGCCACTGACTTATACTTCATCTAATTACCTAGAGCGTCGTAACGCTCAATCGTGCGTGCACTGCAGTGGTACGGTCATGATTAGTTAAGCAACCGGTCGCTGTCCCGTCCTGACCACCATGCCGAATCATTTGCCCCAAAATTGCCCTCCATTACGGCGCGATGGCGTGTTGGAAGCCCTGCCATACGTATCCTCAGTAAGATCACTAATTACATCACGGGACAAGGCTATATGTTAGTCCCGATCCGTCTTACTCGGAATCTTGAGACATGTGTCAATGGGGTTCTGGATGATGTCGACAATGTTTGAAATAGAGAACTGGTCTTCGGGTCATGATCCTCTGCACAGTAGATTATAAGTTTCTGTGCTCCAGTCTATTTTACCCTAGCCTCTCTATTGCATCTTCATTACCCCCGAGCATTGCTCGTCCCACTCCCACTGATCAATTCCTCTACCATTTTATAATCCGTTGAGGAAAGAACTCATCAATCAATTCAAGATAATACGGCTGTAATAATATGTTAGCTCACACCCGGGTAACAAGCGTCCCTTACCAAAGGATGGTAATCTCACCTTCAACTCGTCCACCTTCGGCACATCGTCCGATTTGCTGTACAAATCATACGGGTTGAACGCCTGCACCGCATTCAACAACGCTTCATCCCCTTCCGCCATAAACTCCCGGTAGGCGCCCTCCTTGTGCCAGGGGTAAAAAGAGTGGAAGCGCACCATGGCCAGAGCCTCTGGTGGCAGCGTGCTCTGGTCCTTGAGTACCAGGTACAAATATTCGTCGTGCCCCCAGCTCATAATGAGGTTGTTGATGCCACACCCGGGCTTATAGATGCCGTGCCGAGTACTGTACACCTCGTGCCCGAAATCCGGGTTGGACTCAAACTTCTCTGGGTAGATGCACCGGTCATCAAACCGGCACCCGACAGGGAACGTATCCCCAACCACATCCCACTGGCCCGCACAGCAGCCGTCGAAGAAGAGCATGAGTTTGCCGAGGTCATGGATCAGCCCCATCAGCTGCATCCAGCGTGGCTTGCCGTCGCGCCGGATCGCCTCGGCGCTCTGTAAGAGGTGTTGGATTTGGCTGAGCTCAGTGTCCGGATCACTGTCGTCGACGAGTGTGTTGAGCTTCTCGATGGCTTGCCAAATGGTCATCTCCGCCCGCTGCCGAGAAGGGGAGTAGAAGAACTCGCGAGCAGCGAGGTTATGTGCTACCGTTTGCTTAGCGTGCTGTTCGGCGTAAAAGTGCTTGACTCGGTCACATGCGTCGGTGTATTGCCGGAACGCGGTCTTGTCCTTTTCTGTGTCGAAGCACGAGTCTGCGTCAAACGCTGGGTTAAGCTCCATCGTGTTTGGCGCTTCCCCCTTAAACATGTTGATTGTGTCGATGGCATCTGAAGTGGCTTCTAAACCGGCGCCAGCATGCTGGGCTGGGAGAGTATCGGCAGTGGCCATGATTCTTAAAAATTAAGCCAAGGCACGGACAAGCAAGGAATGAAGTTCTCGTGAGAGCGAAGCAGGGGCCTGTTGAAGAAGAAGAAATCTATCTTCTGCAAGGTCAATGGGCAGCGTGGAAGTGGTTGATTACTCCAGGATGCAAGTAGACAAAGGTGGGAAAGTGTAATGTTTAAGAACAAGGTGAATGTCAAAATCCAACCAACCAAGGACACCGCCGGTGCTTATTCACTCCTTTTTCATGGACCCATCCCCCCCTAGCGCCCTTCATTGAGCGCGGCTCATTGCAGCAGGATAATAACGGATAGGGAGAGAAAAACATGCTTCGGCGTTCCACAAAACCACAGTGTGTGGTTGAAAATCCCGATAGTCTGTGTGGTCTGCGGTGCCGGTCCCCATCCGGCGGCGCACAAGAGTGGTTCAGCGGCGGGCTGCGTGGCCGTTGTGGAATCGATAGCTTGGTGTTTCCCGGTCGAAACATGCCAGGGGCCCGATAGCAATATGCAGCATAGCGGTGATCGATTCCGGCCTCCATCGGCGAGAATTACCGTTTCCGGACCGAAGGGTGAAGGTCACGGCGGAGACCGTTTCGTCACCGCCCAAAATAAACTTCCTTTTTCGGAAACAGGCAACTTTGCCCGGTCAAAGAGCGGGTCTTCTTTTCGCCTTACGGGCCCGACTGAAACGGATGGGAACCCAAAACCCACCGACAACATCTCGCGACATATTCTGTTATTGTCTTCACAAAGTGCAAAAGGGGAGCTGCTTCCGTGCTGGATTTAAAACTGTCACAGAACCGTGTCCCTGCTCTCGTCCTCTAAACTCCTTTGTGGCTCCCATGTGCGTTGTCTAGTCTCTAATTAAGTACTCCCGGAAAAGAAAACAGAAAAACGAAAGCAGCCCCGCTATGCTTCAACCCGGTCTCAGCTGTGCGTGGTGGCCTAAGCGCTTCTCCGTTCGAGGTTTTTGACCTCGTGATCATTCCCCCCAGTCATGGCCGTGGTTCGTATGTGGAATTCGGTTCAACGATTGGGTCGACACACCGGTGAGATGCCTATTCCAGGCCCGGAGCATCTCCCGCCTCACGCTCTCCGTGGGCCGCGCGTGATCCCTTTGGGTCTGTTCTAAAATTGCCAGCATAGCGTCTTGCTCGTTGACTTTGTCAAAATAATGGCCAACTGCGTAGACATATGGGTCAGTCGGGCTTGTCAATTTGGTGGGCGCGGCGGGTGGGACAATGAACTGACAAGCCGATATAGCCATGCAGGCTGTGAAGATGCCGGGCGGGGTGAATTTGTTCCCAAGTCCAATACCACAGATTTCTCGCATGATTGTTCGGATATTGTCCTGTGCGAAATGGCGATGTGACGTTAGAGGCAGATTGATAAGCACGAAGGTAAGGTGCTCAAAGATAGACGAAGAGCCATCTCACCCTGACAGTTTCTCTTTCCCCGACCGCTACTGGGCTGCTGGGCTTGAGTCGGTGGTCGAGTAAGAACAATTTGGCAAGTCGATGATGTTGGATGCTGATGACTACCGGTTGAACGTGCCACATTATTAGCCAACCATGTGCGAAAGAAACCGGTGTAAATATGGATGTGCCCCCTCACCATGGCAACTACGATGGTACCATATTTCTGGGAAAACGGCGGAACCCAGGGGTTCTTTGAAAATCGGGTCGTATGACGACGGCTGCTTCTCCAGCCATAATCGATTCCACTCGTCCAGTTCCTCCCATGTCTTTTGCTCTTGTTCTTCAGAGCCAAAACAGAAGTTGACCACATCGGCGCAGTGTACAACAGCCATGTTTGCCCAGTTGTAATCGTCCGCCTCGTGAAACGACCGGTCGACGAGACTGGGGTGTGCGAGATTGAGACACACCGGTTGACGTTTTGTCACGGCGCTGTAGATTTCTTGTCTGAGACCGACCCAAAAAGAGGCCGCTCCGAGGGTACCAGGTTTGAAGGAATTGTCTCGGACAAAGCGGTACATGCCGGGCAGGTGGCCACGCCGTACGGCGTCGTGGGACGCGTCCCCTTCGTTGTCGAAATCATCATCCCGAAGCCCCGCTTTCGTCAACGTCGTATTAACACAGCGTCTCGTCAACGACTCAAAGGCTTAGTGTGTGTACATACCGTTCATTTCTTCCATCACCTGAAGAATAATAGTGGAAGCGAAAAGATGCTCAGTCCAAGGATGGTGGTAATCTTTGCTGAGCAAATGGTCCTTCATGATGTTGATGCAAGCCTCGTTGTAGGTGTCAGCCAGCTGGTTATACCGCTTCTTGAGCCCATCATCGCTGCCAGTCTGCCCTAGATGCCGGGCTGCCAAGCCAAATATGGCTTGTAGCAACACTGGGGAGTCTCTGGCTACTTGGGGCACCGCTGTTTCAAAAGTGCCTAAAGCCAATCGTCAGCATTGTCAACAGTAACTCCCGGTGGATACTAATCAGGCGCTACGTACGACGTGGGTCGCAAAGGTCCAACTAAGAGGGCAACGGATCGTTAGTCCAACCACCAACACTCGAGTTGAATATCAGTTTGGGTACCGCCTTACCCATAGAGCGAGTTTCTCGACAAAATGACGGAAGAGTTGGGCTTCCTCGGCACTTTTCAAGGGCCAGCTGGGTGCATTAGGGTTTTTAAGCGGAGGAGGTTTGGTGGGCGGATCAACGACAGACGAGATCATCATCTGCCGCAAGCGGTCTCGAGGAGATGTGGGCCGTAAAGGAGGTATCTTCGTGGATATGATAACAGGCGGCGTGTTCCCGGATGAAACCTCAGAGATGACGGTAGCAGAGCCCGTTGCTGTCTCGGACTCCTCCGGGCCGCTCTCCGCGCTCTCCGCGCTCTCCGCGCTCTCTGCATCGTGAATGGTGGCTTGGGATTCATCGATGAAGACCACTTTAGGGTAGATAGACAGTCAATGTTAGTATCGTTCGCTGGGACAAACACGTGGGGTTGTATATAGGTGGATAGGGAACAAACATCTTCTAGGTGTCTTGACCCATTTCTGTTTCTTGGTGAATTTATATCTATCTGAAGGTAGAGAGAAGCACATGTTAGGTCAACAAAATACTTGGCTCGTTATAGTTTGGTATCTTCCTTGCAGAGTCTACTGACGTTTGTTAATTTCACGGATTTTGAGACTCGGTGGACGGCATGGCTCGCCCGCGTTGAGACACCGAGTGCATGTTGGTGTTAATCTATCGCCTGTGACAGCCAAATAGTTAGTGGTACGCTCTCCGGCTGCCAGGAATGAAATCAGGTTTAGTGCGGGTGTCTGTTTAGAGGGATGAGGAGAAAAGGGCAACGAATAAAACGAGGGGAAGGGGAAGGGGGGTGAGGACGGACACTTGAGATGATGTTGGCGACACCGAGCGCTTTCCGCTCAAATCAGTATAAAATCTCCGGTTGAAGTACAGAAATCCCATGTCGGTACTTCGTAATTGGGACCCCAAGTTTCGGACTCACCACCCAAACTTGGCCAGGCTTTGGGGCAAGGGGCCCGACCCGGAAGTGGCCGCAGCGAGGCTAGATGGTGGCGGCATGAACGGAACTCCGAGTTGCTGGACGCCCACACGCTGACATCTCAGGCCGAGGGCGATCGCAGCCGGAGCTTTCGCGGCCAACAGCGCCGTGGGACTCAACAAAAACAACGGTTTGGACGCAGCGCAGCAACGCGTGAGGGGTACTTCGTATGAAATGAGGGGTTCGGGGTCGAGCAACCAAGAAGGGCGATCGCTCGCAGCTCTGTCAAAATAACCTTGGGACTCCTGTTAAGCTCCAAAAATGGAACCTGCTACCAGTGGTTATTCGTAACTGCCCGGATGGAAATTCCGCCGTACGCAACGGCCCACAAGAAAAATAGGACGATGCCGAGCACGCGTGTGCGCTGCGGTTGGGGGTCGTCAGGGAAATTACAGCCTATAGCGCCCCGGCTCAGGGCACATGGTCCCGCAGTGTCGCCCGCATGCGATGATCCAGTTCTAGGGCGGATCTGTGCGAGCGGCGGGGCGTTCGCCCGCACCCCGCAAAAGAGATGGGGAAGCGGTCGTCAGAGAGGAGGCGTTTGGGGAAAACCTGGGGTTTGTTCATTCCAGACTCCTGTTCTGTACGCCGAGTGTTGCTTTTACCCCGACGATTTTCTCATGCACAGAAATTTTAGATGTTCGGATGTCATGCACCCCAGTGTCACATTCGGGGCAAATGCACCTTCCCTTCTTGTCAAGTCTGGTCGCTCCCCCAGTGAGGTCCGGCAAGAGCTCTCAAGCAAGCCAAGCACTCCAAGGTCCTCATGGTCACGTTAAAACTTTACGTTACCGAGGAACATGGAGGAAGTTGGTGAGGATCGTCCGAGTTTCTGTCAGGGGTTGATAGTTTGCACCACCCCACCGACCGCTCCACTGAGATGCGGATGACATGACCCATGACCCTTGCTAGTCGCAAGCCTTTTGAGGAGTCTCTCCGCATCAAAATCCCAATTTGCGGCATGCGATGGGTTTCTTAACGGAGGTGTCGGGGCTTGATCATTTCTTTTTCCCCGGATTCCACAACATCAGGACGACAGCCACGCGATCACCTCCAAGGCCGTTTGCCCGTGATGAAAACAAGGCCACGAGTATAACCTCACCACGAATACCCTTTTTTCTTTCTTTTTTTTGCCTTTTCATTCTAGAAACTAGAGAGGACGGGTGAGAACGGTGGAATCCAACATTACCTTCACCATGGCTTCGGACGACGCGTTGGAGAAAGACGGCATCGCGCCGTCTCCCTTCGAAAAGGTAGAGGGGGCTGGGGGGGTCGAGAATGACCCGTCGTCCGCCGGCCAGGGTCAAGTCCAACACCAAACAACCGACCGTGTGATTCAGGGAGCGAAGACGGCAACGGAGAAGGAGCAGAAGATGACCCTCTTGCAGGGGATCAAATTGTATCCGAAGGCCATCGCATGGAGTATTCTCATCTCGACGTGTATCGTAATGGAAGGTACAGTTTTGGTAGTGCCACCCGTAGGAAATGATATTAGGAAGCTAACTCGGTTTGCTCGTTTGGTCAAGGCTATGACGTTTGTCTTATCAACAATTTCTGTAAGTGCCTCATGTACCACCCCATGTGAAACACAGAGCGCCCTAGGGTGGTTTCTAATATTAAGCCGCAGATGCTTTCCCACAGTTCAACAAAAAGTATGGCGAGCGGCTACCCAGCGGGGACTGGGAAGTGACGGCCCCCTGGCAAGCCGGACTAAGTAATGTATGGTGTCACTTCAGACAAGTTTAACCCAAAACTCGGAACGGGGCTAACGGACTGTTAGGGGGCCAACGTTGGTGAACTCATCGGACTCCTCATCAACGGATGGGTGTCGGAGCGATTCGGCTATCGCTGGACCGTGATTGTCTGCCTCATGCTGATCAACGCCTGGACGGCGCTGTTTTTCACTGCGCAAAATGTTCAGACTCTTTTGGCAGCCGAGATCCTTTGCGGAATTGTATACGCCCCTTATTTATCCCCCCC